AATTCGTATACATTTCATGACAAGCAAAGATTTTGCAAAAAAGGGACCCAATGGATGACGCTGCACCCGATATAAATAGAAAACCCCACGGGGTTTTTTTTATCTTAGACGAATTTACTTTTCAGATGGCTAAATCAAGGATGCGTTGAGTATGCATATAAAGACCGTAACACTGTGTAAGCGTGATCTTGCATCTACCTCCGATTGACGAAGTTGCTCGAGGCGGCCGTTATTACAGCAGTAAGACTCCAAGAAACCAATTCATAAATATTAAGACAAATTGTAAAAGTGGCGAATTGATAAGGAAAGATTCGACCACATCTGTCCAAGAAGGAACACGATAGGTATATCAATAGCTTCATTTGAACGATATTCATGAGATCATATGACTCATTTCGCCAATGTACGCGAAAACTTTTCATTCTGTGGGGCAGCGAGGATTCCTGGCCTTCCTATTATTGAAAACGCTCATCTGTGCTCTTGAGTTTCCGTATAAGGACTTTTATTGGCTTACATGGTACACCGGACCAATGCTGAAGTTGCAGGTTCATGGAAGAATATTACGCACGCTTGGCAGAGATCTCACAGGTGGGAATAAGACCATAGGTAAAACGCATCNTTCGCTTTTGGTTTCCATGTACTTACTATGGGGGAATCAAAATTTTCGCGAGAATTTTTTTTCGGGCGAAACTCACGATAAGGAAGATTACATACATAAAATGCTAGCCATTTTCGTTTTTCGGACTAAACTCAAAAACCACTAAATAGAGCCCAGTCAAATTGTCGGAGGTCCTATTATAGACTACTAGAAAACACGCTGGTAGCGCTGGAGTAGAGTTTCTTATAAAAGTCGTATTTATTAACAGATTTCGTTTAAATTCGCAGCGTGGCTACCTGTATGATGAAAAATTCCTTTGCTAAAAATGGACCCGCTGGAGTTTAGGTATTTAGAAAATCCGTATTTTTTATAAAATCTGATTGGAATTCATAATTCGTATACATTTCATGACAAGCAAAGATTTTGCAAAAAAGGGACCCAATGGATGACGCTGCACCCGATATAAATAGAAAACCCCACGGGGTTTTTTTTATCTTAGACGAATTTACTTTTCAGATGGCTAAATCAAGGATGCGTTGAGTATGCATATAAAGACCGTAACACTGTGTAAGCGTGATCTTGCATCTACCTCCGATTGACGAAGTTGCTCGAGGCGGCCGTTATTACAGCAGTAAGACTCCAAGAAACCAATTCATAAATATTAAGACAAATTGTAAAAGTGGCGAATTGATAAGGAAAGATTCGACCACATCTGTCCAAGAAGGAACACGATAGGTATATCAATAGCTTCATTTGAACGATATTCATGAGATCATATGACTCATTTCGCCAATGTACGCGAAAACTTTTCATTCTGTGGGGCAGCGAGGATTCCTGGCCTTCCTATTATTGAAAACGCTCATCTGTGCTCTTGAGTTTCCGTATAAGGACTTTTATTGGCTTACATGGTACACCGGACCAATGCTGAAGTTGCAGGTTCATGGAAGAATATTACGCACGCTTGGCAGAGATCTCACAGGTGGGAATAAGACCATAGGTAAAACGCATCGCATCGAAAGGGATTAGTATTCCATATGGAATCACAGCGCTACTATTCTTGACATATGTGTGAGGAGGATTCCGTTTTTTAGTCGTTTCAATTTAAACTAAAAGTGTTTACTTTACAGACTGCTTTTGCTTTTAAAAGCTATTTTTGAATTGGCCAACGCAAAAGATCTTATTAGGCGCCGCGAAGCAAGCGGGCATTTGCTAGTGTGCATATATGGAACCAGGCAAAGGTAAATCGTGGACATTCCTAATCGAATATACCCTAACTCTTTAGCAGAAAAAAAGGCAATTTTCATAAAATCCGTTACCTGGGCCCAATTGCACCAATGACTTATCATTTATCACTTTACAACTTTTAGATAAGCCTTTTTATTGAAAAGTAAAGTTGATAAGTGTTTCACTTTTTACTTATCATAAAAAACGTATCAATTTAAAAAAAAATTAATAACTGGCATGTTTTTTGGATAAGTCGATTTGATAACCATTGCACAGCCAATTTCTTTTGCTTTTCAAATAGAGAACTTTTCCAATAATGTGCTTAGCTAAAATGATTACCGTTTCTCAATGGAAAACGAAAGCTTAGCAAACCCATGTGCGATTTGATAAACATTTTCAATTTATCTTTTTTTTCTTACTATGTCGCGCGCACAAAGCACAGCCAATATATTAGCTGTCTTAAAAATTATTAAGGAAAAAAGCAAGTCCGTATTGACTATGTATATTTACATAAATAATTAAATTTGTCTAAATTAAGGATTATTTATTTGGATCTTTCCAAAATAACTCAGTAACAAAAACACAAAAACCACATTGCATTAATTAAATGATTTCCGTACCGGTTAACAAATCATAGTTCCATCAATGCTCCCTGCGTCTTAAGGAAATTCACCAATGTTGAAAAATTTTGTGGCAATATTTTTCGTAAATTCCCGCCAACAAATAGTTTCATCCATCAATTTGTTTATCAGGGCATTTGCCACTCGATGGATTATTGTACATACCGCTAATTTGTGAACCCCATGCATTTGACCAATTCCATGATGTTGGCTACCATTACCTAATTAGTGCAGAGTCAATAATAATTGCTGTAGCGGACTTAAGCCATTATTACACCCACTGTTATATTGTAGGTCCGCTCCAATTTTTAATAAAATTTCTTCAATTTGGCTACGAGATAGCCGAAATTTTTCTACTACATCAAAATCTATACTGTAGCTGATTGGTTCTTTTATGACACGCCTTTTATTATGTGCAGATTTTCCTCCTCTAATATTTTATCGAATCACGTGTTAGAGCTTAAGTTTTAGATTGTTAAGGTATAGTTGTATTATCCTTTTACAATAAATAAATAAATAAATTCATTCAGACTGAATAAATGTAACTTATCACTTGTATGATAGGTAAAATTACTTTTAGCAAAATAATGCTAAAGTTAGCAAAATGAAAGATGATAAGTGATATATACAAATTTTTGGTGCAACGAAATGCTAATAAATTTTGATAATTTGCATAACTTATCACTTATCCGCTAAAGCCTTTTCGCCAAGCATTTCAAATTTTGGTGCAACGCTTATCTATGATTTTGAGTGATATTTTACTTATCAACACTCATTTGAGTGACTTTTCCTTATCATGTTGGTAAAACACAAAACTTTGAGTAAGTTCGATAATCTGCTAAAATGCTAATGATAATTCGTTGGTGCAATAGGGCCCAGCACTTACTAAATGTTTAGAAAAATTTATAGTTTGAAAGCTTACAAATTTTCCAAACATGACTGCAAATAGTTCGGAATAATTACGTTCCAAGTAGGGATGAAACGATACGAGTAAATACAAGTACTACATACTCGAGACAAGTAATTTTGGAATCGATACTTTTGAACCACCTAGATGAATGCTCAGAACAGATGTTTCAACGCGATTTTAGGCGCGCCTGCTAACACCGGGCACCTAAATGCATTCTATGTACTCCTCCTCCGGACAATGCTTCACTCACTGGGTAACGTTATTAGATCCCGTTCACATGACAGGCACTTAATACCCGTTTTGATAGGAACACCAAGACGAATTTACTTGCGTTTAACTCACGTTAGCATGTGAGCATGTGAACACCTTGAGAAAAATGACACGAAAAACGCGTAGTTGTGACCGCGCTTTTAGCTCCCGTCATGTGAACGGGGTCTTATTCTTCACTAGCGGAAAATGCAGGGAGGCCTAGCTCTGTTATTGAAGAAAAGAAACAAAGAAGAAAAATAGCCCCTCAAAAAGTTGATTAAAAAAGATTCTTAAGCAGATTTGTGCAGTTTGACAGTTATAGAATGTGGTTATTTTTGGAAATTTAAAAAACTAATCGTTAACTTATAGCCTAAACAAATTAAATTTAAGTTATGTAGTTCATACGGAATACCTTCACAGCTAAAAGTTTCGATACTTTAGATCCGATATTTTCAAGGTACTTCCAAGTATAAGTATCGATACCTGCATGGTATCGTTTCATCCCTAGTTCCAACACATATTATTGCTAAATTACGAAACAGAAAACCTTTAATTTTCTCTACTGAAATATATGAAATTTTGAGTTGTGTCGCTATTGTAGAGGACCATCGATATGTACATATTTAGTTATAGGGCAAATTTAGTGGGCAATCTGAAAGAATAAATTAACACATTACCTGCAAAAAAAGCGGGAACCTTTCCTTCTCAACACTAATTTTAGAGCGAGCATGAACCGCCGTTCACAAAAATGCAACACCCCTGATATTTAAGGATATTTAACATTTCCTGTGTATAAAGGTGAAGACCCCAGGCTCCGGAGGCTTCAACTGAAAATGTAATGAAATGACCCTTACTAAATAGAAGAGGGGCGGATACCCCCTTCATTTGTCAAGTGTGATTCTTTGGCAACGTTTACATGTGATAAATAAAGGTTTCGCCGAACCCATAACGACGTAATGAGCGAACAAAAGTGGTCATATAGCTTTGTAACCCGCAATTGCTGGTATTTTAACATAATTTTTTAATCGACTTCCAAAAAAGGAGGAGGTTATCAGTTCGTCGGAATATATATATATTTCTCGTCAACCGATTTCGATAATTCTTTTTGCATCGGAAAGGTAGTGTCTCAGAGGTGGTCCCATACTAATATGGTTTAGATCCGATCATTGGATCATGCCATTTTGCTAAAAATTACTTGTTTATAAAATCAGTTAATATTAAATAATAAAAGTACTGTTAAACAAAGTGTGATCGTTTAGCAACGTGTGCATATGAGGACAATAATTTCGGGCCACCCATTCCGATGTAGTAGAAAAAATCGGCGGTAAATGAAAGCCAACCCAAACAAACAAATGAATAAATAACATAAATAAAATAAAATTTACATAATAAAACAAACCTTTCTCTTTACGATTATGTACAAAGAACCAAGCGACTAGGGCTGCGTTGACCACCAAGAATCCAAAGGCGGCCATGGATATTCCAAGTATGACAAGATTGGGAGTACTCGAATCCTCAGTTAACTCTTCAGTTGCTATATCCAACCCTTGTATAACCAAAACAGAATACGAAAAAAGTAAACAAAAAGAGAAAAAAGAAAAACAAATATTTCAGATGGTTTAAAAAAAAAAATCATAAATGATGAATATACGAAGTTAAGTAGTTGTTTGCACATTTGCCTGATTGTCACGTTTCTAACCTTTTTTGTCATCTCAAAGTCCGTTATAAGGTATAATTTCATTAAAAATGTTTGCACATTTTACCACTTAAAAAAAAGGACCAGTAAAAGGGATATTTTGATATTCATATGTATATGAATATAATAACAGATTGGCGCTTACAGAATATGTTAATGTTTGGCCGAGCTTCTCCTCCGATTTGTCGCGTTCGCCTTGATGTTATCACACAAAGGGCAGGGACCTGCGATTGCATTTTTATGAAAAGCTGTTTTTCATGGCTGAATACATTCGGAGGTTTGCCATTGCCTGCCGAGCGGCGACCGCTATTAGTAAAAAACTTTTTTTGTTTATTAATTTTTTATGTTCTCCGGAAACTGTGCTCGAAACCAGACAATCCAAAATGCAAGTGCGCACTGCTAAGCACTTCACCACAACGACCTCCATATAAAACAAAGATTTACATATGTCTACGTACTACAAAATTCAGGGGATTTTCAAATAAAAACACAAAGGACACATAAAGAATAAAACAAATTAACTAAATAAAATGGGGTTCCTATTCGCAGAGGCATTTGCAGCCCATCTTCCCATTTTAGACCACACATGTGATATGTCTTTCCAAAAATAGTGAACTTACGCTAGAATAGAATAGAATAATAGTAGGGTAAGCACTGCGACCAATAGGTCTATTGTGCCCGAACTTACGCTAGGCGCGCATTGCATCCGATAGGCCGACCGATTTCGGCCAACAATCAAGCCGCCCAAACTGATGCGCACACTTAACCAAATTATTTTCCGACCACATTTTTACGCGCAAATCTAATTTTCATTTCAATTTTGTAAGCAGTGAAATATTTTAATAGCTTTTAATTGACTTACTCTAAATATGTTATTTTATAGGTATTTTTTTGTTTGTTTTGTACCCAATAAGTTAATTTTTCGCAGTCCATTTTGACACTTTTCACCTGACATCGGACGAGAGAAACAAACATGTTTGAATTTATTGTCACTGACGGACGTCATCGGCCGATGTCGGTTCGGTTGTCGATTTATGTGTGGGAGCGCTCATATAATCACAAGTGTTTATTCTTATCGCCCGCATATAGCCGATATTGGCCGAGCACAATTCGGACGCGCGTAGCGTTACTCACTTCACATGAGTGCGCCGTTTGATCTCTGCAAAAATCGCGACTACTCCATGCATGCATGTAAAGAGTACTCCCTAAGGGTCAAAATTAACCGTATTGTATATAACAAATGTGGTCCGATTAAGATTGCGCTGTCCTAGGGCAGGACCATATATGCACTCCAGATTGCATTACATCAGAGTAGCACAAAATTACCCCAAGGAAAGAATGTGAATAAAAAGGATNCTCCCTAAGGGTCAAAATTAACCGTATTGTATATAACAAATGTGGTCCGATTAGGTCCTAGGGCAGGACCATATATGCACTCCAGATTGCATTACATCAGAGTAGCACAAAATTACCCCAAGGAAAGAATGTGAATAAAAAGGACTTTTGTCTAATATTGACATTGTCATTGTTGATATCCTTTCTCGTTTGTACATGCTCTTGTTCTGCACTTCACAGATGCTTTTTCATAGTTCGGAGACACAAAACAAAATTTTTTATTATATTTTTAATGTAAAGTATGAGACCGATGCGTATGCGGGCAAAAAGTGAACTGTTTATTCAAATTAAGAGTTGACATTGCTTCATACAATACACGCATGGTTGCATAACAAATAATAGTAAATAGTAGTACATTACATTTCAACTATCGATTAATGATTACATTTCATTATTAGTTACATTTAAATACCGATTGTTTAATGATTGGATGTATGTATTTAACTATGGATTATAATATTACTTCACCCTGCGAAATTCTTCACTACATAAAATGTAAATTGTTTTTATTTATGCGATAATAGTTATTGTATTCTATTNAAATTCTTCACTACATAAAATGTAAATTGTTTTTATTTATGCGATAATAGAATACAATAAAACAATTAAAATTATTAACGAAAATCTTGTGCATAGAGCACAAACACCCTGTTTAATTCGAGAGCTTTGATGAATTGGTGCGTCTATCACTATTGTTTCGTGTTGATCTAATAACTGCGATGGTTGCGAGAATGTAGCGGAAGGTTCTGGCTTTACATTATCTGAAGGCAACCGTGGGTATTGCGCAGTAGGAAAAGCTGATGATCTGGAATCCACGCCGCTATATCTGTTTGTGGATGCGCAGAACCGATATCAGAGTTGTGTCCAGATTTAAGTTGGAGACGTTCAGCGGGTGATTTACCATCGACATTCGGCATGAATCGGTAAGTGTATAAAAATTTTGTTACAGCAGCATTCAACCATAACCCATCATCGACGTTCTTCTTAACTGCTGTTTTAAAAGTTCTTACAAATCTTTCCGCGAGGCCGTTTGAGGCTGGATGGAACGACGCAAATGTTAGATGCTTTATTCCGAGCTGGGCCCAAAAATTCTTGAAATCATCAGATGTGAGCTGCGGACCGTTATCTCTAACGAGTGTATTCGGAAGTCCCTCAATGGCAAAGATAGAGGATAATGGGGCTGTTGTGTCAGCTGACGTTGTTGCTGTCACTGGCACGACGAACGGGAATTGTGAAAAAGCATTAACCCATATAAGCCACATCGAAGAATACAATGCTCCGGCAAAATCGATGTGAATCCTCTCGCATGGGTGGCTTGGTGCAGGCCACTCCTCGTAATTTCTGGTTGGAGAAGGATTAACAGCTTTACCAATGTCACATTGATCGGAGAGTCTCGCTAAGTCCCCATGATTCAATAATACAAGGTTGGCTAACCTGGCAGTTGTCTTGCTCCCACATTCTTCCGTAGCCTNCGCTGCACTATGTCCATATCGTTGTAAAGCTCATACAGCTCATCGTTCCATCGTCTGCGGTACTCGCCGTCGCCAACGCGTAAAGGCCCGTAAATCTTCCGCAAAATCTTTCTCTCAAACACTCCAAGAGCCGTCTCTTCGGATGTTGTCATTGTCCATGCTTCTGCGCCATATACCAGCACGGGCATGATGAGTGACTTATAGAGCGTGGTTTTCGTACGTCGAAAGAGGACTTTACTCCTGAATTGCCTACTCAGTCCAAAGTAGCACTTGTTGGCAAGAGTGATTCTGCGTTGGATTTCAATGCTGACATTATTATCGGTGTCAATGCTGGTTCCCAAGTAAACGAAATTCTCTACTTTCTCGAAATTGTAACTGTCAACAGTGACTTGATTGCCAAGGCGCGAATGTGCTGACTGTTTTTTTGATGACAGGAGATACTTCGTCTTGTCCTCGTTTACCACCAGACCCAAATTAAAGAAGTCACATGAAAGGGAGTCGCCCTGCCTGAAACCCCGTTTGGTGACGAACGGCTCGGAGAGGTCCTTCCCAATTCTGACGGAGCTGGTGGTATTGCTCAGCGTCATTTTACACATCCGTATGAGTTTTGAGGGGATGCCAAATTCAGACATAGCGGCGTTTAGGCAACTCCTTTTAGTGCTGTCAAAAGCGGCTTTAAAGTCGACAAATAGGTGGTGAGTGTCGATTGCTGCACAGAGGCGGGTGCGTATCTTGGCTGCAACAAGATAGTGATCCGAGTCGATGTTTTGGCCTCGGAGTGTGCGTACATCTACAACACTGGAAGCGTGCCTTCCGTCTATCACAACATGATCGATTTGGTTTCTCGTTTTTCGATCCGGAGACAGCCACGTAGCTTGATGGATCTTTTTATGCTTGAACCTAGTACTACATACCACCATGTTTCGGGCCCCGGCGAAGTCGATCAGCCTCAATCCGTTGTCGGACGTTTCGTCGTGGAGGCTGAATTTTCCGACGATGGTTCCAAAGATCCCTTCCTTGTCCACCCTGGCATTGAAGTCGCCAAGCACGATTTTGATATCATGACGGGGGCAGCGCTCGTACGTGCGATCCAAGTGCTCATAGAAGAGATCCTTGGGAGCCTCATCCTTCTCTTCCGTCGGGACATGGGCGCAGATGAGCGAGATGTTGAAGAATCTCGCTTTGATGCAGATTATGGCTAGACGCTCGTCCACCGGGGTGAACGACAGTACTCGGCGACGGAGTCTCTCCGAGGCTTTGCCTTGCTTCTTCACTGGAAGTGGTTTTTACGTGGCGGGTCCCAAACCCAGCGCACAACCCATTGCTGGGACGATTATTATTAATCAATATATTAATATCAATTATATACGTTATACCAATTGCATCTTTCTATTTGTATATTTCTTCATATCGCACACCATCTTCAAAAGAGTCGCAACTTAAAATAATAGGTTTGTTAGAAAATGCGAAGAACTATTTCTTAGCACATCTAGCTCTTTCTGAAAGGCAAATAAAAGCTCTGTGTTAATTTTTAGCGCATAATCTCAAAAATGCCAAATTTTTAGTTGTGACTCTTTTGAAGACGGTGTGCGATATAGTCTTTTTGAGTAAAGGATTTGTTTGAATTCCATTAATTTTCTTTAATATATACTGGAATATTTGGAAATATTTGTCGATAAGATTTTCCTTTGGTCAGAATTTTATGTGAATAAAATTCTCTCATTCTTCATTCATTTCACTTTTAATATCTATATAGCATGTTTAATATACCATAAAGAAAGTTAATTTATTGCCTATTATGTAGATCAGTCGAATCTGCTTTATATATTTAGGTAATTTTTATACAAAAAATGCATTTCAACACTACCAGACTACTTTTCCTACTACCTTTTCACAAAAGGGGATAAAAGGGTTACCCGCTTTCTCTTTCCTTCTCAAATGCAACCTTACAAGGCATCGATTGGCTCAAATGTCTTTCACCCC